TACTCTCGGCCTAGTATCCGGATTCTGACGTGGCCGGTACTGTTCATCATCGGCTTTGATTTTCATTTTTTTTTGTTTGTGATTTTGACTTGTTTGCGCGCGTTGGTATGTTCCGGAACGTATTAGATCGACGTCAACTGATCCGTTAGTCCTGGCGAGAGTTGGGCAGGCAGTCCGCTAACCCCTTTGGTTCGCCTTGGGGGAAAGTGGGGCTGTTACACATTGTCTGTAGTTGGGGTGATCTATGAAGGATCAATCATTAGAAAATTCCATTGTGTCAAGAAGGTGCCCATTGTGACGCCCCGAAAAGTATAAGTGTGAGAACCCGTACTTTTCCCATTTTCTAGGGTTTTATTTATTTAATGGCTTGTTTTCTGCGTTTTCTTAGTAGGGAAATTTTCTAGATATTTTTAATGAGCAGATATAGTTTTTGGATGATTTTTCTAGTATCAAATAGGTTTTGAGAAATTAAGAGTGTATACCGGATGTGGGACCCACTAGGGCGAAAAGTTCGAAAAAATTTGACCAATTAGGTTAAGTTCCGGATACTGGGTGAAATTTATCGGGTGTTAAGAGATAAGTAGAGGAGGTGAAGTGATTGATGTGAGAGGGAAAAAGAAGGATAGGAATGCATTAATGAAGTGACAAGTGTCACCTTAAGAGCGGTGGTCACTTATTTGACTTATTTGACTTTTTGACATTTCTTACTAATTGATTAAATATCTCAAAATTACCACAAAAATCACTCTTTTCTTCACCATTGTGCCCAGCCCTCTCTAGCTAAGAAGAAAGAAAAACTCTCCAAGATTCTTGCTTCCATCTTGCTTGAGTGTAATCATCCAACCATTTGATCTTGTTTCTACTCCATAAAATCTTTCCATTTGGTGCTAGTAAGTGATTTTGTGGAAGTGTTCAAGGAAGCTAAGGTGTTCTACAACTCCTTTTCTCTTGTTTACTAGGTAAGTGGTGATTGAACTTCCTCCTACACCTAATGATGCTTAATTTGTGCTTAGTGGAAGCTAAAGTGCTGAAATTTGTGGTTTATTTCTTGGTTTGAGATGAATTGGTTAAGTTTTTATTTTATTGAGAAATTTTCTGGTTTAATTGGATCATGATGTTGTGGTTATTTATGATGGTTGGTAATGAGGGGTTATGACTCTAGTGGATGTAAATGATTGGTAATTGCAACCAATTTTGGGTTTGGAAGGAATTTGGGGAAGTTAGGGTTTCATAACCCCCTTTTCTGTCCGGTTTTGTATCATATGGTTAGAGGCCGAATTGGCCTTTTCTTAAAACATAAAAGTTGTAGGTATTGATGTGTTTGAGGTGCCTGTAAAATTTCAGGGCAATTGGAGTAGTGTAGAATGAGATATGTCGATTTTACTGTTGCTGTTCTGGGTTGATCAGAATGTGCGAACTGCGCCTGTAATCGTCTGTTTTGACTGGAATTGCTTTGGATTTGGTGGTTGAGGTCTTCTGATGAAATGTATCTTGATGTCCTAGCTATCATATGCCTTTGGAATTTCTGCATTCGGACCTGTATAGACTGAGTTGGACTAATTACAGCATAGTGTAATTTGTAAACCTGCAATTACGGTTCTGGTTTGGTATTCTGCATATTTGACCTAGTTGTGCTAGGATTTGGACTGAGTGGCCTTCTACATTGTTGTAAGCCCTGTCTCTTAGCTTCGAAACGGTGGGTCTTGTATCTTCATCCGACCATCGTAGTGCTTTTGGTACCATTACCGCAAAATGACGTCAAAACTGTTTTTTTTGGTTTTGAGCTAAACTTTCATTTCCGGACTTTTCCCTAGCTTGACTTGTACTAGTACTACTTGGAGCTTGCTGAATGGCTATTGGATGAACTTGTTGTTGTGTGTGTACCTTTGGGACTGGCTGAGGATATAATGAAGCCATGATGGCTGGAAAAGTAAGCAAATTCAGGGGAAGTGCTGTCCGAACTTTGAAAGGACTTGATTGCATTGAGTTTGTGATCTAAGACTTGGGTTTGAGCAAGGCAATGTATATGATGGATGATTTCTGAGCCATTGAGGTGAGTGACCTCAAACTATTTCTAAAATTATTTATGAACCGTTTCTTGCATTATTTACTTTTGAACTGTTTCCAAATTTAATTTTGGAACTGTTTTCTTACATATCATGCGTGCTTGCATATCAGTGTCTTGTTATTATTGATTTTGCTTTCAATGATTGTTAAAACGAGTTTTCTAGGCGAGTGTGTACTTTATCGCACTCGACCTAAATAAATATGAAATTTCAATGATTAATGATTAAATGCTACTTGCGCATGAATGTAAGCCTTTTGGGCTGAACTGGCCATTGCCCCTTGTTACCGGTCGTCTCGAGCCAGAAGCGGACTCGGTCGGGCGACTAGGAACTTGGGTGAACGTTTCGGTATACTCGAGTATTACCTTGTAGGTTGGTGGAGCCTGGCCAAAAGCCAGGGACGGGGTGAATGAATGCACGAATGAAACCAAAAATGCAATGAAATGACAGGAGAACGAACGTATCTTTTCATGAATGTTACTATCGCTTTCCATTGTACCTGTTTCTTGAATTATTGATACTCCATATTTAATGTTTTGTAAACGTTGTAATTGTTTCTAGACTTATCATTTGATTTACGACATCATTGAAATGAACTATTGTTAAACAGATTTGATTACTGATTTTATTGGTTACTCGCTGAGCTTCTAGCTCACCCCAAAATGTTTTATTCCCCTCCACAGGGCTCAAGGCGAAGGAAGGGCTTGTAGTGTTTATTCATGGATTATCTCATGTATGGATTGAACTTGGATTTCCTTTTGTGTAATCATTCATATTGGGATTGTATTGAACGTTTAGAATTGATTGGATGTGTAATAGTCTAGTTTTGGACTTCCTCCTGTAGAATAGTTGGTATCAAGGATCAGAGGGGCGCAGTGGAAGCGTGGACGCTTCGCTTTTGATATGTAAAGTTTGGGAACCTTTGCTGTATATTTGATATATATATCTTGAAATTCCATTGAGGATTGTAGTGAACGACTGAGTCCCGGCGAGAGTTGGGCAGGCGGCCCGACGAACCCTCTGGTTCGCCTTAGGGGGAGGTGGGGCCGTGACACCCATCTTGAGCTATATGTTTGAGATCTATAACATAATTGTTTCGAAGAAATCCAAATCCATACGTCCCATTTCTATACTGCCAAATTCTTCCCTCAACCTGCCGAGGATTTATAGTGGTGCCTGGAATAACCAAATCATAGCTTGAGGTCATGTGAAGCATGCGTGACACAGCACCATGATCTCAACGCTGCAAATGATCATGGCAGTCATCAGCTTCCGCAGGTGGCCTCAGATGTACACGACTATGATACTCATATTCTTCTTCAACAAAAAAGGAGGGCTCATTCAATGTCGTCCTTGACGTCCAAAATACTGGGTTATAACCATTAAATGGTCTAGATGAGTCTTCAATCCTTTGGCATGCTATACCCCTAATGTCATCATAGCTTGTCAAATCCTTGGCAAAATGCTCTGGCTCCAATTTTTTCCTTCTCCCTCCTCTGCTGCCTCCTTGACGAACCATTACCACCTAGACTTGTCCGTTCTGTACTCCATCCAATAGAGATCAAGTCTTGGTACATGAATGAAATAATTTTTTATTTTTTATGTTTTTTAATAGCAGGCTTTTTAGTTTTGGAAGTGAAGTTATGATTTCTTTAAATTGCAAGAGAAAAGTTATATTGCCTTTTTTAAAGTTAGGTAAGTTACATTTGAACTCCCAATGTGCAACTAATGAAGTCAATAAAAGGTTCATGGCTGACCGTAATGCTGATTCTAGAGACTTGCTTATGAACAACTTTTAGTTGCTGAAGTGGAGCATAATTCAAATATAATACAAAAGCCGCATGGGAAATTTGTATATATTGCACATCTTTTGCATTGGGAATTGTAATTTCATCAAGTTTTGTGGTTAGTTAAGGAGTACGGACTTGGTAATATAGAGATAGCTAGATTTATATTATGGTATAGTCATGAAAATTGGAATTTGGTATCTGCAGTGTGAAATGTAAAATTAAGAATGGATGTAAAACAGTCAAACACAACTGTCAAATTATTTACAAAAGTTAACAATTAAAAGTGTCATAATATCTTATTCTAGTTACACTATAAAAAGTGTCATGACAAGTGTAAAAATATCACGCTTAATGGGTTTCATTTTAGTTTAACTCATGTCAGTGGTTAACACCTCTTTCTTGACATTTGCAAGTGTCATAATTGATAAAAATAACGATGCTTCTAATTGCCAATAGAGTAACTAATTGGGACGTTTGAAAGTGTCCTTATTACATATCTTAATGTTAGAATGGATCACACTTTCATTAGATCACTAGAGTAGAAACGTCATCAAATGGACGTGTAACGATACTTTGAGCTATCATAACAGCATATGTTTCTAGTAGTGATTGGCATCAAAGAAAAAAGGTGCCCAAAATTTTTCCACTTCCATACCTTCTTGCCTCCTTTCAGCTTCTTTGTGGGTCTGGTAGATGTTCATTATCTGGCTATAAAGCCAAATACTTGCCCAAGAATATCAAAATCTTTCATTTTTAAACTTGGACCTAGATTATTTCACACAATAGGGTACCTGCAGCATGTGTTTCATTCTCAATGATTTTTGTTACATTCACACATGTTATCATATCCAGTTGCTTGTTTAATGAAGGTTTCTAGTGGGTAGCAGTGCATCATAAAGTAATGTAATTGATTGGAAATTTATCCAAGTTCTATCTTGGGTTATCTTATCTGGAGTGTTTACCAATTTTCACCATGTGATTAATCTGGAATACACTTTTGAAGTTTACAATCAGTTGTTTTTGCTTTTGATTCTGTTGATATTACTTTTAATTGCCTTATATAGCTAACTATGTTACAAGCAGGTGTTTTTAGTTTTTTTTTTTAGGAAATCATGATTTTCAAGATTATGGTATAAGCTGGAGACAACATTTTCCTTGCCAAAGGTATACATCAAGCTTGATTTTCATTGTCCAAATTCTAGAGTTTATCTTGAATAAGTAGTTCTTTCCTACCATTTTTTTTATATTTGGTGATGGACTACCTGAATGAATATGTAAGTTTTGACGATTATGTAGTGTTCTTGGAATATGTAGTCGTAACGTTATTAAGTATAAGTATAGATTAGTATCAAAATTAAAAGAAGGAAACATATGTTTTATATGCAAACATTTTCATATAAGAACTACAGTTACCATTTTATTCATTTTCTTCGAGCTTATAATGCACAGTATCATTTCATAGGGACTTCATTGGTTTGTTATTGTCTTGCAGCTTATTATGCTGATGCTATTGGTCCTTGCTATGGAATTTCCAATTATTGTGATGTTTTTTGGGTAAGTATATACTCCTTTCTATCTATGTTAGACTTGTTTCAAATGGTTGGGTCTTTTTAACAAAGTTTCTGTAAAAGTGACAATTTTCACTTTGTTCTAGAAGACATTTGCATATAAACAAGCTACAGGTGGTCTCTAAGCTAACTAGTAGAAAAGAAATTTCATAATATGGTATTTCATGACATCTTATGCAAATTTTTCTGGATAACTACTTACTTTTATACTATTTAAGCTACTAGCATGTGATATTTGTTATTAGAACTTTTGAAAATTGAAAGTAGGTTGGTTAGTGAATGTACTGGTTCGCCTCATAGTCAAAAGTTTCAATTTATAGTGGAGCATCTTTTCCATTTTTTACACAGTTTCACTAAAATATTAGATGCATCAAATCTTTTATTATTAAAATCATTAAATTATTACCAATGGGCGCTAAGAATCTCTATATATGTCGAATTTTATTTGTCATGAAATTTGGTCTAGCGATAAACAATATGCATTTTCAATACCTGAAAAGTTGAAGCTGCTATGCATAATCTATAGAATGAACCATACAAATGGAGCCTATGAAGCCATAGAAGGAACACTGTTTGGTTCTTAATATGGGAGCATAAGCATATTAATTGTTTCTTGAGTTCTTAATAACGTAGTAAAAGTAAAAGAAGTGTTTTTTGAGCTCTAATGTTCTAAGTGCTTATCTCTTACTTTGCTCTTATTTAGTCATTGTCTAGATTATACATAAAAGGAATGATTTAGCTTATTTTCTTGCAAATTCTTTAGTTATCTTTATTGTTTCAAGTTTTTCTTATGACCTACTAATAATTGCAGTACTTCACTGCAGATATGTTGCTCATTTTAGCTTTTTGGAAGATCAGCAGCAGGAGTTGCTAATTGACTCAAGGGCGATAAAGAAAATCTTATACTTAGGAAATGTCATGCAACAGATATTTTTTGGGACTTGGATTTGTTTTGTAAAGCTACCTCGACTTATATGTGAAATTTAGGCCAAATACCACTTATCAAACTATTTGTAGGGTGTTGTTGAACTTCATTATGATATTTGAATGCTTGATATGATATTTTGGCATTTCGTAATACAATGGATGTGTTCATTTGCTAATTGTCAAGTATTGTCATTTTTTTTCATTTATAGATATAATTATAGTAGGAAAATATTACAAATTTCATGGTAATAAAGTGTTATCACTGAATCAAAATTTTCCATTAATAACAACCTGTTGTCATAGAATTAAAAAGTGTTTAGTGACAACACAAGTTGTCAGTAATTAGTCTATATCAATGACAATTACGGATCACTTTTAGTGACGATATTTCTTTGTATATCATTGACAAGATACTATATCATCACTAAAATTACAACAATTACTGACGACACCAGTTGTCACAAAACAGTCCCATTCACTGACGACTTTTTTTGCCGTCACTATGTACTTTTACCGACGGGCCTTCAGTGACGACTCTGTGACAACTAGAAAGTTGTCAATAAAAGTTATCAGTGACGACTTTCTATTTTTTTGTGACAAAAATGGCTTGTCATTGAAGACCAATTTTCTTGTAGTGGTATTTCTGGCTTACTATGGAGCATGATTGTGTAGTTTTTGTCAGAAAATGCATTAAATGTCAATTGTATGGGGATGTTATGCGCACTCCCCCCACAGAATTACACAGTATGACTGCTCCCTGGCCATGTTCAATGTGGGGTATAGATGTAACCATTGACCCTTCTGCTTCAAATGGGCATCGATTTATTCTGGTGGCAATTGAATACTTTACAAAGTGGGTCAAAGTTGATTCTTACAAGCATGTGACTAAGAAGGTGGTGACCAATTTTTTGAGAAAATACATCATTTGTTGTTTTGGTGTACCAGAGACATTAATCACCGACAATACCAAGAATCTCAACAATGACATGGTGGATGGATTGTGCGAATAGTTCAAGATCAAACATCGAAATTTCACTATTTATAGACCGCAGATAAATGGAGCTATGGAGGCCGCGAATAAGAGCTTGAAGAGGATAATCCGTAAAATGACCGAAAGACACCTTGATTGGCACGAGAAGCTCCCCTATGCATTAATGGCATATAGAACTGCTATTCGGACTTCTACTGGGGCAATGCCTTACAATTTCGTGTACCAAATGGAAGCGATTTTGCCAGCCGAGGTCGAAATTCCTTCTTTGCGCATCCTAATGGAGGCCAAACTGGATGAGGCTGATTGGATTAAACAACGTCATGAGCAGTTGTCTTTAATCGACGAGAAGAGGTTAAATGCCATTTGTCATGGTCAGTGCTATCAAAAGAGAATGGCCAGTGCTTACAACAAGAAGGTCAAAGTGCGGCTGTTCAAAGAAGGAGACAAAGTATTGAAACGGATTTTGCCAGTACAAGAGGAGACTAAAGGCAAGTTTGCACCAAATTGGTAAGGCCCTTTTATTGTCAAGAAAGTGTTGCCTAGTGGAGCACTTATTTTCACAAAAATGGATGGACAAGATTTCCCTCAACCGATCAATTCGGATATGTGTAAGAAATTCTTTATATGATAAATGAAAGTTTCATTTCATGGTTAATGTAAAGAATGGAATGAAAGTCAGGCCTTCTTTCCTTTCCAAATTAAACGTTCTATTTCTAGTTATCCTTTTGAACCTTCAGAGTAAATTATTTCATTTGGCAACCCCTGAGAATCGCAAACCCCATACTGAGACAAATTTGAGTTGAAAAGGAAAAGAAAAAAAAAGAAGAGAAAAGAAAAGCTCCAAAAGGTAAAAGAAAATTAAAGAAAAGAACCCCGGTTGAGAATAAATTGGGGTAATTTTAATTTAATCCCAACTAGGGTCAATATGAAGATGCGATTTCAGGTGATTTAAACACTTATAAAATCTGCTTTCAAGCCTTAACTTTTCTTAGCACCTCACCAGACCCCATTACGAAAAACCGAAAGTCCTGACTTCTGTTTTTTGTATTATCTCTTTTAAGAAATTTTCTAATCAAATGGCAAATGATGTCAATATACCATCACCAATTTTGTAAGGAAAGGATTGTCGTACTAATGCCATCATTTCTTAAAACACATTTCTGAATTAATAAGGGTTGTAGACGAGATTTGTTTATCAGGTGAAAACCCGAAAGGGCACCTTTGAAAAAAAAAAGAGAGAAAAAAGAAGAAAAAGAAAGAAAAGAAAAGGGAAAAGAGAAAGAAAGAAAAAGAAAAAGAAAAAGAGAAAAGGGAAAAGAAGAGAAAAGAAAAATGAAAAAGAAAAATATAGAAAAATATAGAAAAATAAAAAAATAAAATAAAAATAAAAGGGTGGGGGCAACCTTAGTGAAAACCCGAAAGGGCGCTAAAGTAGGGTTTATGTTGAAAGTGAGTTTGGATTGGAATGGCTGGTGACTCGGTTCATTTGAATTTCTCTTCACGGTTGTGGTTCTTTTGCTAGCATTGAACTTCGGAGGGATGATATCCAAATGGGTCAAACGTGGTATCTTGTTCGAGAATCAAAATATTTTAATTTATCAAACACAAACTTTTGAATTTGAATGTACAGGTTCTTTTCTTTGAAGTAAATTCTCTTTCAATAAAGGTAAATGGTTGTTTTTGTATTACTAGGATTTTCATCATTTTTGTGTAAGTAGGATACGTTTTTTTGTGTTTCATAGTATCATTTGTCTCTTTAGACTTATCAAACTGCAATCCCTATGATTTGTTGAAAGTATATATAGATACCAAATGACACGTTTGTTTAAGTATTGGAAATTACGAAAACTTGATACCGTTCGCAGGGCAAAATAAAGTTCTCGCTACGTCAGGGAAGAACGTCTAAATACTCATGTTTACACATTTCTTGAAGAAGGGGTTGATCGGATGGTGGTGGCATTATCTATCATTATTATTATTTCTCTTTTGCAGATCCAATGGTCCAACAACATCACACTGGGGCAATTTTTTTTTTAGAAGAAATCATCTGTCTCTATTCTCAAAATTCTACAAAAAGCATTCTGCAAAAAACTTTTCAATTTATACGGCAGGCTCGGGTTTCATCCCACTGACCAAGGATACGGCAGGTTTGGGTTTTCATCCCACTGACCAAGTTATACGACAGGCTCGGGTTTCATCCCACTGACCAAGAATACAACAGGCTCGGGTTTTCATCATTCCACTGACCAAGGTTACGGCAGGCTCGGGTTTCATCCCACTGACCAAGGATACGGCAGACTCGGGTTTTCATCCCACTGACTAAGATTACGGCAGGCTCGGGTTTTCATCCCACTGACCTTTTTATGCTTGCATATTCTAGTTCACGGCAGAATAACTACAGGTAAGTAATTTGGTATCTACGTCTTTGTCTCGAGTTTCTTTGAAACTCAGACAAAGAGGGACAAGTTGTAGACACCAAAATTTTATTTTTTTATTATTTCTGTTATTTCATTTAGTTGATTTTGTTTTGATTTTTGTTTATCTTTATCTTATTTTCATTTTTCTTAAGAAAATCATTTTTATTATTATTAATTAATTCATTGGAAGGAAAAAGAAAAATCATCAATAAAACACCAAAATTTTAGTTTTTTATTTCATTTTAGTTGATTTTGTTGATCTTATTTTATTTCCATTTTTGTTAAGAAAATCATTTTATTATTGTTAATTAATCTAGCAAAAAAAAAGTGGGAGTCATGCGTGCATGCTTCTTCAGCATACCAGCCAAACGAAGCTATAGTATAAAAATGCAGCTGCGAATTTCCAACTCTTCTTCACTCGTTTTTTTTTTTTTGGTTTTTCTGGCTCTATTGGATCACGCTAGTACAGGCCATTTGGCCTTAATCCAGAAACCCTAAACTCTTGTGTGGCAAGAATCATCTAAGGGCTCTCAGATTTTCAGAAAAAACAAAATTTTAGGAGGGCCATCAAACCCTCATCTCATATAAATAGCTTCCAAAAAGAGCAGCGGAAAAGGATAGAAGGATTAGAGTGATGGCTAGAAAGTAACAGAGGCTTAAAAAAAAAAGGGAAGGAAGTTAGCGGCTAGGGTTAGAGGAATAGAGCAACAGGGAGAGACCGAGAAGAGAAAGAGAGAGAGAGAGCCACAGGTTTTGGAGAGAAAAACAAGAAAACTAAGGAGGAAAACAGGGAGCTTCGGGAGTTGAGGGTTTTCGGCTAAAGCAAAGGAGAGGAGTTTAGGAGAGGAAGCTGCGGGGTTGAAGGAAAGAAGGAGAGTGGCGGAACCAGAAAGAAGTGAACTTTGACGGTTGGCTGAGCAAAGACCTCATCCTCCGATCATATCAAGCTTCGATCTACCTTTTCAAAAGGCTAAAGGTAATGTTTTTCCACTTTGGCTGTTCATAGATTGCTGGGTTTATGTCAAAAATATTGAAACTTTTCCCATCATACCTGTTTTGTTCCCCCCCTGTGAATCCTGTTTATGAATCTGGTTGGAGTGGAGAAATCCACGAGTATTGGTTTGGTTTTAGGGACAACAGTTTGGGTTTCTCTGTGGGGTTTCTCTATGTTTGAATAAGCAAACCCAGAAAATGACATAAAACTTCGAGCAGTGTTTCCTTCTTGCTGTTTGCTTGCGGCAGTGTTTGGTGGTTCTTGTTTTTCTTACCATCTTGTTCTTAGTATCTTGTTTATTGTCATGGTTTGGCTTTAGAATGTTTTCTCGAAGCTTTGAGTTAGAAGTCAGTAGATGTTCATATGACTTTGCACTACTGTCGAACTTTGGTTGGGGTTGGGTGAACCTGTTCCATTGCCTTGCTGCGTTTTATGATTTCCTTGTTGTTTTATCCTTTGTTTTGTTGATTTTTTGGGCATGATATTTTAGAAATATAAAGCATAAGTTGTTCACCAGTTGGGGATGAGGAAAGGAAACCTTGGATCCTGAGTTG